GCCCATGAGTGTTAATAATACAATTGTGTCGGGCTAGAAAATTTGAGAAAATTACCTACTCCACTACACAAGATACTTTTTATTATATATTTACACTCCATATGTATTTATTAGCAGAATAACTAAAACTAGGTAACTTATTTGCATAAATACCAGAATTCTATTTACGCATAATTATATTTCATTAAGGAAGTGGCAGATTTAACGTGATTTTGCAGTTATTGGCCAATACTGATTTCCTATTAATGAGGTTTCTTTTCTTTTCTCTTCTCTCCATTCTTATATGTTCCTTCTTCTTCTTCTTCTTCTTCGCAGACCCCAACTGAAATTCAGGTTTGATCCCGACTTAAAAATCCTATCGTTAGGCGTTCTTTTTCTCTGTTCGGAGAGCCTCGTTGTGCGCCATCGACGAGCAGCAGGCCGTGCAATCGAGCAGCAAGTCGTCCTTTCATCCATCGCCATCAACGAGCAGCAAGTCGTCGTTTCATCCATCGCCATCAACGAGCAACAAGTATGAAGAAGACAGCAGCTACGAGTCGTTCAACAAACAGACGGGTGAAGATCGAAATTGGAATGAAATTCATGAGAATTATGAACAACTCGAAGCCTGGATCTAAAATTATTTTCAATATATGTTCTGTATATGTTCGGTATATATATATATAATTCCAGAAAATAGTATATGTTCAGTATACATATATAATTCCAGAAAATAGTATATGTTCTGTATATGTTCGGTATATGTTAGGTATACTTATATAAACCCCAATATATATATATATCAGATTGGAAAAAACCCAGAAAATATACTACATATATACATAAACCAGTTTCAAAACAAAGATAATACATGTTTTTTCGAATATATTAATTAGTTTATATACTGAATATATACGCAATATATACTGTATGGAATTGGGATGGAAAGAAATTGACACGCAATATACCCGTAACTGAAAATCCCAACATTTGAGGAGGTGGTTACACTAAATATGGTAACTCAAAATATTCTGTTGTAGTGTATATGTATAATTAATTAACATGAAATTGGAAAACTTGCAAATAAAATTTGACCCCTGGTAGAATTATATTTTTTTCTAAATCATGTAGTATAAATAAAAATTTCCCCTATAATTTGGGCAGATTATACAAGAGTCTGAAATACTAGTATAAATAAAAATTTCCCCTAGAATTATAATTTCCCCTAGTATAAAGTAGCATGAGTGTTAAGACTGAGGCCAAAGTTAGAGATAGGAGCTGGAAATTAAAGGTGTTGGGGAAAGTGAAACACTTTATTTGGAGATGCTGTAATGGTGCTTTATCTGTTAATCAAAATCTGAAAGCCAGAGGTATAGCAGTGGATCCTATTTGCAAGGTTTGTGGAGAACAGGTAGAAACCATTGTGCATGTGTTGTTCCATTGTTCACTAGCCCAAGCAGTTTAGAAAATGGCTCCAGTAAGGTGGGAGGGCCAAAAGAGAATGAGATTTTCAAGGATTGGTGGTGGCAGGTATGCCAGATGGACAAAAAGGAAATTTCTGAAGCTAGGATTCAATTGTCAACATATATATTATGGTGACTTTGGAAATCGAGGAATCTCTGGGTGTTTGAACAGGTGAGAAGACCTCCTCCAGCCATAGTCAGAGTTGCAGTTCATGATTGGGAAGCTTTTCTGCAGCATAGTAGGTGATGATGGTTCTGGTTGATCCTATCTCTAGTATGTGAGGATTTGTTTCCTATTGGCAGGTTCTTGTTAGGAGGGATAAAGGTCCAGTGTATTGTTTACTGCTTTATCTTCCGGTTTCTTGGTCTTGTTTTTTCTTGTTTTGGGTTTGGTTGTATTTTAGGCCACATGTGTGTGGTTCTCTCACTGCTTCTGCAGTCGTTTCGTGTTGTATTTGGATATTGTGTTTCTGGCTTCGGCCTTATTTATTTGAGTTTTCTATCGTTTAGGAAAAAAAAAAAAGAAAAAAATAGTTTCCGTGACCGTTGCTCAAAAATTAATTTACCAACGTTGTACAAGGACATTCTCAACAATATATATATTTTTTTTTCATGTCAAACAACTTATAATTAAACAACTGTTCAATATATGAAACTCTTTTTTGTCAAAATAAAATTTAATTTATAAAAGACCCTAAATAAATATGAGTAATGCTACAAGTACATAACATTGTACATAGTGATATACATAACACTCACATTGAGTGGGACCCGTCAAAGATAAAAAATTAAGTAGACCCCACTCTATGTGAGTGTTATGTACACTTCTATGTACATTTATTATGTACTTGTAGCATTTTTCAATAAATATAGCACATGCATCGCATGCGTAGTAGCCTTATATCACAAAACTAAATGGCAAGAAGTTCAAATTGTGGAACTGAAAATTCCACCATACCAAACCAATGAAACTAAGATTGCAATTTGACCTATTATTATACTTTTTTTTTTTTTTCAAACATACGTAAGATCTGGTTCTTTTTATGAATGCTTTATCCGTGACTTTATCGAACTGGGAAGGAAGGATTTTGTGATGTTATCAATCTGGGGAAAGAGATTTTGTGGTTCTTTTATGAATGCTTTATCCGTGATATTATCGAACTGGTAAGGAAGGATTTTGTGACGTTATCAAACTGGGGAAAGAGATTTTGAGACACCAATCGCTTTGGGATGGAGATGACTAGCGAGGAAAGGCTAAATTCTATCATGAAAAAGTAAAACCTTTGTCACTTAAACTAGTTCAACATGAAACTGAAGTGAAAAGCATCAGATTAATCACATGTTAATAAACAAACTAACAACAAATTTAAACAAAAACCTGACCAAAACAATCGTCAATCCCTAATATAATATGCATTAAACATAACCAATTTTATTGTACATCAGACAAAGTTCACGGATGTTTCAACACAAGAAGAAAGCAATCAAATCCCACCGCTTATTGATGGAAGACGAACAAAATGGGCAACACTCTCAGCAGTGTAATATAAATCAAGAAACAGAACAACAATCAAGGTGGGAATTGATAGTGGCGGCGTTCATGGAAACAACTCATAATGTTTTTTATACAATTTTCAGATAAGAATATTAAAAAATAGGAACAACACTATCATGCACTCTGGACTTCTGGTTTTGTGCGACACATTCGGATATCCACATCAAGTTCCGAATCTCCTGCTCTCTCAACCTCATATACGCAAAGAATACACCATAGTGAAACTGCATCGTCCAAGGCTCACAAAATCACGATAAAATAAAAAGAGGAAAGGGAGAAAGATTAATAACTCAATGACTTGTGGGTCTGTGCAGGGAATGTTGTAAAGATGTGATGACACAAAGACGTCTACACCAGAGTTTTAAGATGTTTATACGAAATTCCGTTTATCTTTGAAATTACAAATGCTCCCTTAAAGGCTTGAGTATGTATCACATAAACATCCTCAAAAGGACCAACTGCAACATGACGACATTCCTTGGGGTGTTATTAGCAACTAGAAAGATAACAGGTAATTTTTTTCTTTTTTTCTTTTTTTTCAATAATGCAGCATTTCTAATTACCATTATAAAGGTCCAAAAACTAAATCACTATTTACTATTTATGAGTGCTCCTTCAGAAGGGAACTTGAGGAAACGAACCTGTTGCTCAAAAGCTAAGCAAAGGCGTTTTACTTCCTCTTCGTAAAAGGCCTTGTCGAGCAACTGACTCTCACCATAAGACAACTTAGAAAATATGGTCTGATAAGGAGGATACTTCTCCATGGCAGCACGAACCTAGAAAAGTTATTACCAGTGTAAAAACCCAAAAGTAGGTAGAGACAATTGTAGATGCAACATACAGTAGCTTAAACACCCTCCCATAATGAAAAATCATTGAGGAAAAATATCTGACCATAACTAGAAATGATGATTTCTATTTCGTTTAGTCCTTTCAACTTCTGATTTCTGTGTTAATGGTTTATTGCATTCAAGATGACTGGAATTAACACCGTAAGAAAATACCTGATCTATATCCTCACAGATAGCAAGTTCTTCATGACCATAAGGATATCTATCAAGGAAATATGCTGTCAGTGACAGGAAAAACGACACTAGTGCACTTGTAATATAATCTGAACTCTTTGAAGTTTCACATGGTAAGAAATAGGCCCTTACAGTAGACCAAAATTAGAGTACAATTTCCTGCGATCATCTCGAGTAAGCTCGGTGCCAATGCTGGACACAAAATGACAGAAGGGTTAGCAGAATATTACGGCTAACTTGTACATTTTTTTTTTTTTTTTTGGTGAAATCAAATGAACCTGTTTATTGTGATATTAACTGCCCTTCGATCAGCCTCAAAGGCAAGGAGGTCCGACATAATTTCAGCAGTAGCGCCACCAAGTTTCTACAAGTAGATCTTTGCAAAGTCAGATCCCCAAAACAGAGACTAATAATATAAGATTGCACAAGCAAAAGGGACTTTTTCATGCTCCAAACCTGGCAAAATCTGTTGAAATCCTCAAGGTACGCCTTATAGAGTGTATTCCTCATAATTTCAATGTTCATGTCGTCAAGGTCCTGTGAAAGCATCCATGTAAGATTATATGTGTACACATGCACACAGATGCACAAACTAACCAAAAAAAAAAAAAAGAGGAAGGAAATTAGAGAAGAAAAAAATGAAACAGAGAAATGATACAATTACAGACCTCATTTTCACTCTCTGAATACACAAATTAAACCAATTCCCATTTCATGTCTTGCTATAATAACTATACAAGAGAGCACAAACTTTAAACAACAACCACTTGCAGGCCTTTCTTTCCCCTAGTCTATGCTAACAAAACATGCTGAAAATTTAGCGACACAAATCAACTGTAGATCCTTGTGAGTTGTGACCCCTAAACAAGAAGCTGTGCAAAAGTTCAATTTCTCAATGCACAAAAATAAATGCAGCAGTATGAACCTCTGAAGTGATGCACTCGGAGAAGTATGGAGCCAAGGGTGTGTCAACAAGCACCAGTCTGTAAAGCTCTCTCATATTCTGGGCAACAGCTAGAGTTGCAATGCTGTAGAACTAAATGGTCAAATTCATAAAGCATTACAAATCATATGCATGTAAGAAGCATGTGATTAGGGTAACTGTACCTGTCAAACATCCCTAAAGGATGACATTTCTCTAACAACTCCTGGACATCTCTCTCGTGCAGTGTTCCAGTTACAATAAGGACGACATTGTCGATCATGTGACCATATCTAAGAAATAATAAAAACTTCCAGATAAGAACAAAAGTCGGTATAGGTTTTGGAAGTAAAAAAAACTATAGAAGAGAAATGGTCAAAACACAACGGCTACACAGAGATGAATTTTCGAGACACAATTGCCTCTGTTTGGTGGAAGCTTTGCATTTATACACTGTAAATTATGTATATCTTTCCACTGGTAACATACCTTCATAATCATTTTTTTCTGGATGATTAACAAAATATGAACCTAAAATACCAAATAAGACAGTTTTACTGTAACTTTTTCTGTGTAAAACCACCCACATTGACTTCGCAAATTGGTTAAGGTTTTATTAGTCTTCATCAGGATATAAAATACACATAAATAGGCTTGTATATGGATCAATTGAGTGACTACATATGTACAAGTAGTAATAGAGACGGAGAGCAACATACGTAATATACTCTAGAAAGGTAGACAAAGGCTCCGTTGCTTGGGCTAACATGTGTTTATACTCATCCACCAGTTTAAGAGTGCATTTCTCCACAATTGTTGTAGTATGCAACGGAGAGGGCTCTGCAATTCAATAATAAAGGAAGAAAAAGAAAAATAAAGAGAAACAGAAAAATGGGGAAATGGTTCATTTTAGATCTGTCATTACCAGCAAGAAGCGGACTAGTAAAGCCACAAACAAATGACAAGTAATCAACAAAGAATGGTAACGTTAACTAATCAAAAAACAGATACAGATTATTTTCAGCTTCTCAAAGCCTCGGTACATTTTACTCTAATCTATTTTGCTAGCAATAGTACTACAATAAGTAACTAAAATCGTCTTTTCGAATGGCTCCAAATCCAGCTCAGTAGACAGAAATGGGGGGGAAAAAAAACATTAGCCAAAAAATATTCAACCAAGTTCATGTGAATAGGAACTAAGCTCAAAATCGTTGAAGCCATACCATCAAAAGAATATGTAGTCGAATGCTGATCCCAGTTGGGCACATCCTATATTCTGCATACTACTGTGAACTTTGTATCTAATTATTAAATAGTACAGGAAACTCTTGCAGATCCAACTTATATTCAAAATCAGATGTAAAACTGCATCTAATATTCCAAAGGATTCATATCAAATGTCAAAAACTCCAAGATTATTTTACTCAGAAAACTGGAAAATGACTAATCTAATCTGATTTCTAGTTGATCAATAGAATCAGAAGATAATCACTCGGAGAATTTAACAGTCCAATTGGCCATTTCATCAATTAAAGAAAATCCCCAACTTGCAGAATAGACTATTGGATATCCAAAGTGGTAGCTATAAATTCAAGAAGAATAGTGATAAACTAACCGTTTTGGAGGTAAGGACCGTACTCGGTGGCGGAAAGGTGCATTTTGATGTCGTCCAGGGTCTCGCACTGGCAGAGATTGTTATAATCGGCGGCCGTTAAAAGCCCCGAACGATATCCTCGCACGATGGCTTCCAGGTAACCGCCATGGATGTTGAAGGTCAGCGCTTCGAATCCGTACATTTTGTTGCTACAGATCTGAAGCGAATTATAGAGGAGAGGGACACAGAAATTGTGGTGGCCCTTGGAGTCGAGACAACCACTACGACGAGGTGGATGAGAGCGGCGAGCTGATGAAGAAATAATTTCTTTTTGTTGTTTCATTTGTAAATTGTATCATAATAATACATATAATTGTTGAATAAACCTTAATCTGATGTTTGCCAATTTTATCACAATCTTTGGGTAATTGGAATATAATCTCAACCTCAATTTACTTATTGCAAATTTGTATGCAGAGTGATTGATTTAGAGATTTGTGGATCAATTTTGTGTCCAAGTCTTCAATTGACACGAGTTTTTATGTCATCCACGTAGCAAGTTGACAATTTCCACGTATTTAATGTATATCCACGCACAAAAGCCGAAAATTCCACGTCAATGTAAGATACCGGTGATGAGTCTCCTTCTAGATCTGGAGTGAACCGGTAAATATGAGCTCTGATATGTTCGAACTGCCTTCAAATCGACCAGTTTTTTAAAGGTCCAATCGATTTTAGGTTCGACTTGCAATAAATAAATTGAGGTCGAGATTATATTGCAATTACCCAAAGATTGAGATAAAATTGCCCAACGCAAAAATATTAAGGTTTATTTAGCAATTAACTCTATATTCATTATATATTTTTAAGGCGAGCTAGCACTCGGCCCGCCATTTTGGCGGTGCGGGACTGGACCGGCTGGCTTAGCCGCCTTTCGACACGTCTATACAAAAACTACCATATTAGCATACAAACTACAAAAGCTTTCTTTTCTTTTTTTTTTTTTGCCAAAACGATAGGGAAGATATCATATAACTCAAGAGGATAAAATCCTAATACAACAGGTCCAACATAACAAGATCGGAAAGTTAAACTGGGAGACACACTTAACAGTGGTCTAAAGCCTAAGAAGAGGAACACCCACCAAAGACAATAAAAATAAATCCAAGTGAAGCTACCCTCTACTGCACAAGCCTAGCAGGGTACACACTTAGAGAAAGAAGGAAACAAACTAGC